ACCCATTAATTTCAAACTCAGAACAGACTGCTTTATTGAACCTGTGTCGATGTGTTTGAGGTGGAGAACTTCTCTGATTCACTGCTCACTAGACAAAGGCTTGAATGAATGTCTAAGCAGTGTTTCAGGTATTTTATGTAACTGCTGTAACTGCTACACTACATGTGGTTGTCGGTAAAATCACAAGGTGTGTTAGGAATGTTACACTGTAAAGGGATCACTAACTTATAGTTATAATGAGACTGGTGTACTCAGGACTCACTGAGGACGTTTATCCCATTCATTTGCCTTACTTTTAGAAGCCATGTTGAACAGTAGCTCTTTTTTTTAAGTTTTATAATTTGCAGCTTTCTGGCCTTCATGTGTTACTGCTGCACAACTGGGCCAAAGCTAATCTCAGCTTCTGAAACAGTAACTGATTCATTCCATGATTTGTATCAAGACAGGCTGACTTCTGCCACCATTCTGTGTGCCTCCACACCAGCCGTGGCTGGCATTATGTTTCTGGGTTATCCGTTCATCCGTACATGGTGGTCAAAGGCCAGAGGTCAAGGTCACTGTGACCTCATGTCCGTCTCATTTTTGTGATCACAGCAGTATCTTTTCTTAAATTGCTTCAGTTCAATTCATCCATCAATTATCTGTACCGCTTATCCTGAAGGGGGTCACAAGGGGGCTGGAGCCAATCCCAGCTGACATTAGGCGAGAGGCGGGGTCCACCCTGGAGAGGTCACCAGTCGATCACGGTGCTGACACCAGACCACACACACTCACACTCACTCCTACAGGCAATTTAGAGTCAACAATCAACCTAAGCTGCATGTCTTTGGACTGTGGGAGGAAGATAGAGTACTCGGGGAGAAACCACACAGGCACAGGGAGAACATGCAAACAGCACAGAAAGGTGACCGGTTGGCCGGGACTCGAACCCAGAACCTTCTTTAGGTTAGCGAAAGCGCTAACCACTGTGTCAAAACGCCGCAATACAGTTCAATTCAGTTCAGTTCAAGTCTGCTTTGTGATTCTGACCTGTGCTCAACATACACTGGTGAAAATCATGTGCCATGAACCAAACAATAAGTGTCTCCACTTATGAGCATTGACTTTTTCTGTAAAGTTGCTTTGTCACATTCTGACAACAGAGAGAGCAAAGAGCCAGACTGCACTTGGTGTACATGCACTACACTCTGTCAATTAAAGTTAACTGACTGAGGTAAAATATTTAACATTCTTCATTTTCGCATAAACCCATTGTTTTCTGAGTCAGATGCTCTCTCTGTGTCACCTATTATCACCTACATCTATACTACATGTATGTACTTAGCACAACATACTTTTAGTTGAACCTATAGAATAAATAAACCAAAACAGATGCACCGCCTCTATCCAATTTGCACCCGGTGAGTGCTTAAGCTAGTTTCATCACATCCAGTCCTCAGGAGGCATCTCACAGGAGCAGCTAATACGTCTATCTGCATGAAGCAGGTAGAGAGAGCTGGCGGTGGCATGGTGTGCATTCGCCTGTGCAGTGAAGCCCCAGCTGTGACACGCATGAAGTCACGCAGTCAATCTTGAAACAAGGACACAGGTCAATGAGTAACTGCCGCAAAGTGGACATGAGAGTAGTTTAGGGCGCTCAGAGGAAAGGGAATGTATTACCCTTTTGTGAAATGGAGGGCAGCGTGTATGAGTCATTAAGAAATTAGACACACATTAGCATTTAGAACATAAAGCATTTTTTTTAGTCCTTGTCATTATCATCCAAATCACTTTGCTTTTTATTCATCGTTGATATGGAGCTACGTTTTCTTGATGGTCTCTAATCCACATAAAGTACTCTCATTGGTCATAATGTGATTAAAAAATATTTGGAAAATGTTTGGTACAAGCAATACAGAGCTCTTATTTATTCATATCATCCCATGGCAATAGAGCTCCCTGAAAAGACTATTTATTATGTTACTTTATCACTAATGTGTTTTAGTGGAGGCTGATTTTCTGCCCCAGAAAACTAAATGTAATCTTTACTTGACATTTGTTTCCACAAAAAAAAACAAAAAAAAACTGTATTCACCTTTGCAGCATGTTGTTTTCTGTCAAACTTTGTTGTTTACCTTCACCATCAATTTACAGCAGGTAAAAATAGACAGATAAACTGCAGAGCAAATAAGAATTGCTATGCCCTCTCGTGGTGCTAAAGTTAGTCATTTATTTTGCATCTTCCCAGAGCTGTCAGTCACACAATCAGCTTTTTCACAACTCTCCTCCTTCACAGCAACACTTGGCTGCGGCTGTTTGCATTTCAGAGCTTGTACTCCATGTGACAGATGCAGTCTACCTGTTCTTCTAAGGGGAGAAAAAAGGGAATGAATATCAAGGTTTTGAAAACCTTTTGGAAATTAGAGTAAAGTTTGTATTTTTATATTTGTGTTTACACATATATGTACTAGTTTGTTTGTGGGTTCAGGTTTACATACATATTTGAGGTGTGAGTGAGCTGAGAATAGATTAATCTGGTGTCTATTTCTCCATCTTTGAAAAGAAATATTTAAATATTGTAATGTTTTCTGCACAAACTGTTGCTTGCAGATGGCAGAAGCATCATCATACAATATTGCTGCAGTTTGATATTACAGCTACCTGCATCTCCAATTTTTGATTTTGGAAGTTTATATAGCAAATTAAATGCTGAATAAATATGCTAAAAGGAGCCCATTAACAGTTACTGAGCTGAATCATGTGCTGGTTCTTATCAGCACATGATAAGGTAGGTAGGTAGGTACTTTATTGATCCCTCAATGGAGAAATTTCAGTGTTTCAGCAGCAATGGAGAGCAAACAACATAACACCATGAGAAACAAACACCACACACATATCTTGATAAACAAATTTCAGTACCTCAAGCAGCAATAGAGAACAGACAGCATAACACCATGAGAACAAGCACTGCACACACATCCTGATAAATGAATTCCAAGTACTCAAAAATAGACAGAATCCAGTATCTGAATAATCAAGTACAGAATTTACATATGTGCATATTAACCATGCATGTTACCCCAGGATTTGAGTATTGCACCTCAGCTGACTATTGAAATTTTGAAAACAATGCTGGCTATCAGTCAGCGAATGACTCTGTTTTCCCTGTTCACAGAATTCATGCAGTGGCGCTGGGTTGTTCTGAATAAAGTAGCTCGGTGGAGCTTATCTTCAGATGACCTTGAGCAGTTTGTAGAACATTCCAAGAAAAAGCATCTGGTTTCTCGGTTGCATATAATGACAGGCTGACACTGTTAGCACATACTGCACATACCACATTTACACAGACCTACATGCATACATAGAAACATGCTGATAGAAACCACATTATTCCCATACTCTATATCGGAATATACATTTGTGTACAAACACAGGCAGCAGTAATTATCATGTATCTAAGGTAAATGGAAAGAAATATAGGATTGCCTCAAGGGAATTTTACTGTATTTACAAACTAGATTGAAACAAATTCTCCTCTCAGCAGCTAAGCAGTTTACTCTGGATAAGCTCAAACCATTTGTGTTTTAAATTAATTGTTTTAGCCAATGAAGCATAATGAAGTAAACCCGACTCCTCACAGCAAAGATCCAACTTTATTAAAGTGTTTAGTGAGACTCCACTTTAGGAAGTCTGAAAATCAATTTCAAAACCTTTGCTAAAGGGGTACAACACAGTCATTTTAATTAATGTGTTTTCAACATGAACGTTTCCAACACCACGTCTGGCACTGACAACAGTGAGCTGGGAAAGGCAAACAAGAGTTGTATCTACTACAGATAGTTGTGTACAGCAGAGACATTACATAATTTGTAGTTAGATAAATAAAAGTTAAATAATGCAAAAGGTTCCCTGTGTCAGCACGTTATAAACATTGGAAACATGATCTCTTTTATGCAGTACAACACTAAGCAGAGATGACCCAAGTGAGTCAGTCTGGCAGAGGGAGAGCCAGTGCCCACACCTTGAATGAGGTAGTGAAACAATACCCATCATATGCCTCTGCACTGCTCTTGGTCAGTTCGCCAGCTTATAATTCAATGTGCTCAACTTTGTAATAGTGATGGACGTACCACGTTTCACCTAGATTTTGCACCTAATGCTACCTGGAGCAGGGTAATAGTTCAGCAGTACAGACAAACTTTGGAAGTGTTCAAGATAAGTCATATTACCAGGCACTTTAACATGTGATGTATGAGGGTTACTGAAATCTTTTATCTCATTCAGTTGTCAAGTAGCCTTGCCACCCGGTTTATCTGCCCACCTACCCCCGGACCTACCGCTTCATTATCAAACCATCTCAGTAGATTCCTGACAGTCAGAGTCTGGTTGTTTCTGCTCCATCTCCACAATAAATAAAATTATTGTGCTTCCTGTGTTTCTATAGCAACAGTTCCCACTCATGTCTTCAGGATACAGAGCAGTGCGGAAAATGAAGGAGAGCTGCAACGGCAGTCGTACCTATGCATTTTGATTTAATCATAGTAACTGTTGCTAATTTTCAGTCAATAATTCAGATATTTCCAGTGTAACAGTGATATTTTTACGCTAAAGTCACAGATTCAAAATATTTATGTTTCATGTTCTTAAGACTTTAAATTGGCGTATGTCCGTCCAAGTAATTCCAAGAACTTTTCCTATGTGTAGATTCCACAGAGGTTTAATCTTATCAAATTTGACAAGCCTCTATGTAACAACCCTTAGATTGTCATGTCACACTGGTGAACACTTGATTGATCCATACATCCACCATCCATGCAAACAGGCATGTAAACACTAGCTTTAAAAAAAACCCACCGCATCTGCAGTGATTTTACTGTTGTGTAAGTGTATTTGTCCTTGGCTGTATCTTTACTTTGTTGCTTTTAAGTAATCTTTTCCCTCTTCAATCTTCTGACCCTCCCTGTTCGTCTCTTTCGCTTTCTCACAGTTTCTCTCTCCTGACCCCCCTCTCTCTCTTTCAGGTGTTGATGACTTACAGGGGTGATGTGATGGCAGCGCTGGCAGGCAGGGTAGATCAGAGCAGACCGGCTGCTGCACACTGAACCAACTGAATGCAACACATTAGCGCCTAGACAGGTAGGAATGGATTTCTGGATTTTTTTTATTTTTATTTTTAGAGTTTACAAAGTTTTGTTGGCAAGCTGAAATAAAGATTTTTAAAGCAATGCCAAATCAGTGCTGTTTCAAGACCTTGAGCACAGTTTTTCATCAATTGTTTTTAAAAACACACTGTTTTGTGTGATTGACCACCTTCCTTTCAGCTACTGTGACATGTTTTATGCATGAAGTGCACAAAGCAAAATCATTCGCTATGAGTGAGAGAGGAAAAAAGAAAAACAGAACAGGTGCAGTAAGTGAATTGTAAAGCACTTCAAATATTTGATGGTTTTCATTCCATTACAAATCATGGGCATATTAAGCAACAACTAATAACAAGGAGCATTTGAAAAATTCCAGAAGAGGATTAGAGCCACTGTGCAGAATTTATTTGAGTTCTGACTTTTTTCTCTGAATTCCTGACTCTCAGTTTAAAGTCTGAATTCTGAGAAAAACAAGTCAGAACTCAGATAAATATTGCACAGTGGCTCTAATCCTCTTCCATACAAGATAATATAATTCATTGCAATTTAAACACTCATTTGATGTCTAATGCACATCTATCTCCACATTCTGCTTGCAGAATGGATTTTCTGAATTCTACTGAAGGGGTGTTTGCTACAAGCAGCGGTGGTTATGACTTGCTGGAGACCACTAAACTCCTTCCCAGTAAAATCCTGCTTACGCTGACCTTGTCTATACTGGCTACCCTGACTACATTCTTCAACTGTCTGGTGATCACAGCTATCGCAGTCACCCGCAAGTTGCACCACCCAGCCAATTACCTCATCTGCTCGTTAGCAGTGACTGACCTGCTGGTAGCTGTTCTTGTCATGCCTTTCAGTATCATCTACATCCAGAAAGAGAGCTGGGTCATGGGTCAGGTGGTGTGTACTATCTGGATAAGTGTGGATATCACCTGCTGCACATGCTCCATCCTGCATCTAGCTGCAATCGCTGTCGACCGTTATAGAGCCATTACTGACGCGGTGGAGTATTCGCGCAAACGCACAGGAGCCAGGGCTGGGGCGATGGTGGCAGTGGTGTGGCTGCTGTCCATCTTCATCTCACTTCCTCCTCTACTGTGGCGGCATTACAGCGGGGACGCAGAACATGAAGACCAGTGTATCATCATCCACCACCACATGGCCTTCACCTTGTACTCCACTCTTGGAGCTTTTTACATCCCCTTGCTGCTCATCCTCATCCTCTACTATAAAATCTACCGGGCCGCTCAAACCCTCTATATGCGCAGGGAAGCCAGCCGAGCAAGCCATCACTCATGTATGACCAATGGCAGCATGATCCCCTCATCCTACCCTGCTGGAGATGGTGACATTGATGGGGGCCCTCGAAGTCCAGACACCATAAGCCCACCAGAAAAGTCTTTCTCTGAACCGTCAACTGAGGAAACTCCACGTGAACGGGTTCGTGTGTCAGTAAAGGCTTTCCAGTGCCGGTCGCAGCGGCATGAGTCACGCAGCGAGTCACGTCGGAGCCAGCTCTACCAAGGGCCGCGGGTCTCAGGCTCACGGGAACGCAAAGCAGCATCTACACTGGGGCTGATAATAGGGGCCTTTGTCATCTGTTGGTTGCCATTTTTTGTCAAGGAGGTGATCGTCAACACCTGCAGCTCTTGCAGTACTTCAATGGAGCTCGCTGACTTTCTGACATGGTTGGGCTACCTCAATTCACTGATCAACCCCCTCATCTACACCATCTTTAATGAAGACTTCAAAAAAGCTTTTCAAAAACTAATTAGGTGCAGTCATTACCTCTGATGGTTACAGTTATGCATGATCATATCCATACAGCATCTAACAAACACATATTACAGGGAGAATGCTGGCTGAATACTGACAGTGTCCCTGAGAGACAATAAGTTTAAAGAGGAAAGGACTGACACCCATTTCCAAACACTCCACTGGGCACTTCAGCGACCTAAATGGTGCCAGGTCAGCAGTGAGCTTTACAGCAAAGCTCCAGATTGAAATCCAAGTCCTGCTATTAATAGAACAGCTTGAGATCTCCCTGATGTTAACTGGTGTGTGTGTGTGCGTGTGTGTGTGTGCATGTGAAGGGGCACTGACATGTTGGTTTTTAGAAAATGGGCCATCGCTGACCTTTTTGAGGTTTGGATTCTGAGCATCAGTGATCAACCCTATTTAAAGGTCTTGAAATAGCCGACCATTATGTCTGTTCCATCTAATGACCTCCCTTTTATCTTGTTGAAGCTGCTGGCTGAAATACAGACCATGTGTAAAATACCACAGCGTACCAAGTTGTGACTTTCTGTGGCCATGAAGTTTTGGAAAGCAGCTTTTATCTGACTGGCTTTCACTGTGATTGTTAACAGAAGTAGGTACTCTGCACACAAAATATTCCAACAAACATAAATATAATAAATATATATAAAATATACATTTGTAGATTGTTAAGTAACAGCAATGATACTGGTTCATCTGACAGTCTGAAACTGAAAGGTTACTGCCTGCCTTTAATGAATTTCATACATATGACCATAACATACCAGACTTGAAATGTTTAAGATTTACAGGTAAGAATGCTTTAAAAGTGATGAAAATATTTTATGATCTGGGACCAAATCCTGCTATTAATAAAACATACTGAAATTTAAAGAGCACTCAGTGGCAAATATAAAATTTTATCTAATTTTTTACTACAGCAGTTTCGGTTATGAAGAGGTTTTAAGGTGTTATGGTTACAGGTTCTATGGCACTTTAATTGATATGTTTGCACAACTTTTTTAGGTTCCTTTCAGTTATTTCTTAAGTCTTATTTAATTATGTATTTATTTACTTTGGAGCCATTAAACAGCCTATCTTGTATCACTCCCATCACTATAGCCAGCATTAAGTTATTGAATGTGAAAACCAGCAACGGAGAAATCCTCATTACATCACTCCTGCTCAAGTACTTGGAAAAGAACTACTATTTCAGTACTGCCTCCAAGAGGGCACATTCAATGTTGCTGGAAATACTTTGGATGAGTCAAGTGTGAGGGTGTACTGTATGCCAGGGAGATAAAACAAAGTATGCCATGTATTTACATACATCTCTGAGAGTATCCAGTATTTGTATACGGCCTTTTTCGTTGTCTCTCACTGTCTCAGAATTCAATAATACACAGTCGACATCTTAATGAGTTCCCCTGTTTTTCACATAGTATTTTTTTGAAGGACAATTCGATGTGTGAGTCAAGTACAGTATAGTTTCTGTGTGTATGCAGAGTCTAGTAGAAGAAATGAGAAACAAAATGTGAACAGAAATGGTCATCTGTACGTGTAAATGAATGATGATATGATATACTGCAACTCCATCTCAGTCTGCTGACATTCTGCTGTTAAATGTGAACAGACAGAATATTTTTATATTCTGATATGATGGCACCCCCTTGTGGTCAGTATAAAGATTGCACACTTTCTTTCACTGCTACAATAAGAGATTCATGAATGTGGAAACTTGTTCACTTGGCCTCACTAATCAAACAAATAAAAGTGATACAAATAAAATAAAAAATAAAAGGCTTCTGTCTTATATATTATGTTCCATGGAAAATGTATGTTTTTTTATTAAAAAATACACAATAAATATTTACAGCGAATGTAGTGAACCTGTTTCACTGTAGCCTCATCTTACTCAGCCATCTCATCAAAGCCATTGCACAGAAAGTTCAGAAAGTTGAGTTTTTACTCAACATATTAAAGTTGTTGTTGTGAGGATCATGTTCAAATCCTGGTGTCTGTTTTGAAATAGAGAAATAAAAAACGACACTTGTATTCCTACCTATTCTCAGCAGTAACAGTACAAATTCCCAGTTCTAGTTTCACATGCAACTGTTGTAGAGCATGTACTGTAGAGACACAACTTGCTTCCTTTGAAACATGTGGTGGTGGTGACCAGCTGCTTCTGTTTTACCTGTCGGTGAGGAGTTTCACATAGGGAGGCTGTTTAAATTGTATAAACCCAAGTTTGCAGTTTCCATCCAAAGTCTCTTCATTACTATGGTAATAAACAAATGTGCAAATGAGCATCACTAGAGGCTTCCCTATCATGAGATCTGCCAAGTGTGTTCCCTGGAAGACACATCGACCACTGAGTCTCAGTAGTGCTTTGCCCATTGTGGGTGGAGCAAGGACAAGTGTCTAATTTGCTTAAAATGTCTGAACCAATTTTAAAATATAAAACTTTTAGGCTATAATAGCAGAGGGTCCATATTCATGAACCACCCCATTTCCAAAAATGTTGGGATGCTGTGTAAATTGTAAAATTTTAATTGTATAAAAACTTAACTAAACCTTTTGAATATGGTAGTAAGATATCGAATGTTCAAATGAACATGTTTTCTAAATTTTAGTTTATATAAGCTTATCCTGAAGTTGAGCCAAGGGGGAATGGAAAAGCTGTGTAATGTAATAAAATAAACCTCAGGTTAATTAGCAACAGGTCAGTATGGTAAGTAACATTTCTCAGTGTAAAACTGCAACTGTGAGTTTTTTTACCATGGTAATGTCAATAAAAGATTCAAAGAATCTACAGAGAAACCTCTGTAAGTAAAAGACAAGGCTGAAAATCAGTACTGAATGGCTGTGATCTTTGGGCCCTTACTTGACACTGCATTAAAGCAGACATGATTCTGTAGTGGAAATCATTGCATGGGCTCAGGATCACCTCTGAAAACCACTGCCAGTGAACACAGTTTGTTGTGGCATCCACAAATGGAAGTTAAACTCTACCACACACACACACACACACACACACAACATACTGTATATACTATAAAAAAAAAGATCCAGAAACACTGTTGCCTTCTCTGGGCTCGAGCTCATTTAAAATGGACCACAATGCAGTGGAAACTGTCTTGTGGTCTGATGAGTTAGAATTTGAAATTCTTTATGGAAATCATGGATGATGTATATAAATCTGTATACTGTTAAACATCAGTGATGCCCTGAAAACGACGTTGTCCAGCCATCTTACTTATTTGAGCAAAACACTGTCAAACCACATTTTTCACATTTTATAACAGCATGGCTCTGTAATAAGAGTCTGTGTGCTAAACTGGTTTGCCTGCAGTCCAAACCTGTCACCCACTGAAAACATTTGGCACATTAGTATAAAGACCAAAATATGACAAAGGAGGCTTTGAAATGTTGAGCAGCCGAACTCTTATATCAAACAAAAAAGGGAAAATGTTTTGCTTTAAAAACTAAAGCAGTTGGTCTCCTCAGTTCCCTAATGGGTGTTTTAAAACAAGAGGTGATGCAACACAGTGGCAAACATGCCACTGTCATAACTTTTTTTTAAATGTTTCTGGCATCAAATTTAAAAAAGATAAATGTCCTGTTTCAACATCTGATATGTTGTCTTTGTGCTATTTTCAAATAAATATAGGTTTTAAATGATGTGCAAATCATTATATTCTATTTTACACAGCATTTCAACTCTTTTGAAAATGGGTTTGTTGCTGTTTAGTCTTTTTCTATACCACACAAACAACTGCTGCAGTACAGCTGCACGTACGCTCCCTAAGAAACGTCAGTGCAGGCATCACACAGAGATGAGGAACATTCTTCTCTTGTTCTTCAGCCACTCGCTGAGTTGTGCAGGACCATTAAGAACTGTTGTTCTCAAGGTAGGCTATAGTTTTCCCCAAGTTCCTTCTCACTAACAATTACTGGTCCACAACTGACAGTAATTACAGTAACAAATGATTATTTGGAGAAGGCTTTAACCACTACTAGTAAGAGACCTTTTCACAAAACATATTTTTGACATGTCACAGCAGGAGAAGCACAGCTATAAATGATACAATTAAAGATGACTAAATTTCATTTAGCTTCGTCCTGATGCTGTGCATGCTGACTTACTGTCATACTATCATAGACACCTCAAAAGGGTCATATTATTAACACCTGTGCTTTTCATGATATTGGCCTAATATACAGTATGTCAAAATTAAAATATACACACTGATTCTATTGTGTGTGCAAAATTAGACTTTCTGCATACATGAATTATTTATTCCAGATTGTGCACATATTATTTTGCTGTCCTACAGATTTGGTTGCTGGATTCAATTTTTTTCAAACTGATCTTTTTCCTTCTTTTTAAAAAATAATTGCTCTTTATACACTTTTATTCTAATGTTAAATAGTTTTATGTTAATAAACATGCCTTCATGGTTTTCAAATGTCAGCTGAAATGACTGGAGATGGCTGTTTGCTGAATACTGTTCATAACTTTAAAAAACGCCTTAATATGTTTGTAATTACTGGGTTGCCAGGTTGGTTGCGTTTTGTCTTCGTAGAAAGGGGGATGCTGCTATACAAATCCGGCAACTTTGACTATGCGCTGGATACAGCAGCCAGTATGGCGGACAGCGAAAGTGATTTGGACACAGACGGGCTTGATATAGCTCTGGACACATTGTGTAATAGATACTGCAGCGACGAGTCATCTCTGAAGAGCAAAGAATATTGCTCTGAGTTCTGTGAGGTATGTCAGACTTCATTTAGTTGGGTGGTCTAACGAGTCGGTGTCTGTTTATTGCTACTGCTACTAGCTCCGCTAGCTAACATTAGCCTCCAGACTATCTCTCCTAATGCAGTTAGGTATCTAGCTAAGGCTGTGGTATAGCCCATCAGAAACACATCAGAAAAGGTAATCACAATATAGACAGATATAACGTGGGCTCCCGGTGCAGTAACTGCTTTCAGAGACTTCTGCCTGACATTTGATGAAGCTTAGCTCTACAGCAAATCAGTTAATCCAAGCTAATTAACATTATGATGTTTTCTAATGATCTTTGTGACAGTTATTAACGCTACTGTTTTTTAGAGAATGAGAAAAATACAGCATGTCCTGCCCTCAAACATCTCTAATGTTAGTTGAGGTGAAATGCTAGCTTAGATACCCAGAGTAGCGAAACAGAAAGGTTTTGTGTAGCCGTCATGTAACGCTAACAGAACGTTGTCAGAATAACGTTAGTGTAAACAGTGCACGTTGCATTTAATATAAGCCATAAGACTGAAACGCTAAGTAATACGTTCCTGTTGAAGTGACACATCACTCCGAGTTTAGCCTTGTTTTTAAGACACAGCAGTTCCAGCCGAATTGGCTAATGATTTAACGTGCGTTACTACACTAAATATACAAGTGAGTCCCACCATTTGGAGACGTTCAGCCATGGCCAGGAATATTGACACCCCTTGCATTTCTGTCAGATAGCGCCCTACTTCTGCCAGAAATTTGTTACAGTCACAAATTCTTTGGTGTCCTTGTGTGTATTGCTTTTGTTTGCAATGGAACAAGACTAAAAAAAAAAAAGACAAATCTGATGCATCCCACACAGACAGAACTCTGGTTTTACTCCCCCAAGCACTTAAGTTACACATATGCACTGCTCACGTCTAGTGAAGTCCCAGTTTGAAGCTAGTAGTGGCTGAAACCCTCCATCAATCCGTATTTAAGTAGTAGGCTACTAATAACTTCAGCCCAAAAATGAGCTTGCACTTAGCCAGGCTAGTGAAAGAGCTGTACTGTGCATGAATCCAACACAAGACATTGCCAAAAAGCAGAAATTCTTATTCAGAAGAAATACAGACTACAAATAAATCATGTAAACAAATGGCAAAGCAGGCATGTTATTTGTCAGTTTATATTTCTATTGAAGTACTGTATAATAGCCCAAACATCATTATCATCATCATAATCATTATCATTGTGTTGACTGCTACGCTATAGAGCACTATGGTGATGACATTAAAGAGGTAGAAACTTGTTCCAGAAGGGATTTTTCCCATTGACTGTATTCTATAAGTTTCCTTCTCTCTGAAATTCATTGTGTCAATGTTTAATGATAAATTGAAAAACAAAATAGATAGACTTGGTGATCTTTTGTAGCCCATTTCTTAAAATTGTGAAATATTATAATGGTTTTGTGGTGTTGTACTGTGTGTTTGGTGTGTGGTGTCCATCCTCTACAGTTGGTTGAGGAGTACACAGGGCAATGGCAAGTTCCTCTCCCCCAGCTCAAGGTGCTGCGGACAGCACTCTGCAGCTTCACCAACGCCACTGCTGCCTTCCCCGATGACTGCCAGCACATCCACTATGTTCTCAGCAGTCTGGCCTTGTAAGTAGTTTACTTGGAAGCTTGATGAACAGGCACACTGTAATTCTCTGTCTTATTTAGGCAACTTGTTTGCTTATTGTTAGGGAAGATACTGGAAGTTACCTGGAGCTACATCGCCCCACAGCCATAGCAATGTGATCTTTATTGTTGGGTCTTAGACTCATTTAATTGACAACTAATAAGTAGTGCCACAGAAATATGGTCCTCATCCTCTATTTGGCAGAAGCACTTGTATATAAAAAAAAATGTGCCGAGGACTTGATTTAAGCTGTTGACTCACTTACTATGAGATATTTTAGCAAAGTAATGTTCCTCCCATTGTCTTGCAGGAGCTTTTTTGAACTGATGCTGTTTTTCAGCAAAGAAGAATTTGTGGAAGACCCTTTAAAAGACATCCTTGATTCATTTCAGGTGACAAGAACTTTCCAACTGTCTGAATCTGTAGCTTTCTTATACACAGCACACTTTCATTTGCAATACCTGCTATTAGTAATTAGTGAAAGGTGGGGTGGGGGTCGCTGTGTACTCAAAAGATGATGAGCGATAATTTGTTCAATTTTATGTTTGTGACGAAACCAGACCAAAAGGCGCTTTGTATCTGTGTTTCTCACTGGTTGATGTTGTATGCATTAGTAAACTTAATTGCAATCTATGTTGTGGGTGAAATTTAAACACTTTCAACATGCAGTTTAAATACATTAACGTAGGACATTTACAACATCCATCCGGTGATTAAAAAGTGGTCATATGCCACAGAAAAATCTTAACTCCTGGAAGACATCAATATTTTATTGAAATTAACAACATTTTCAACAAAACAACTGTGAATATACACAACTGACACAGGAAGTGAAAGATCGGTCACATATATGCAATGAACAATGCGGCACACACTTCCTTTATGGAAGGGTTTGGCCCATGAAGTAAATCATTGTTTGCTTGTTTTGCATATGTTTAACAAAATTGTGACTCAATAGTCAAATAGTGAGATTAATTATATTGAGGTATTTTAAAAGTCATTGTTTTGACTTGTCATCTCACAGAGAAGTAGTGTGCAAATTTGAGTGATATTGTTTTTACCACTATTTGCAGGAGTGCCACTCCCAACTCCTAAGGCATAGGAACATCTACCTTCAGCATGTGAAGCAGATCATCAAAGCAGGAGGCCCATGGGAGAATGCAGTGCTGCAAGGAATCTTGAAGGAGGCAGACTTGGCACCAAAAGAGGGTAGGCTGCCTCATAACCATATTTAATAGCAAATGTGGCATACACACTGAGAGCACTGTGTTGTCAAATGGGGCACTCCACTCCTGTGATTAGACTTGCTGTGGATTTAATGGAGAGGTACAAGTAGGGGAAGGGTGGTGACAGCACACAGCCTCTTTCTGTCATTCACAGATCACAGTGTTTAGATGGGTGGGTTCAGCTACCACTCTTTTCTGTTGATTTGCTTTGACTAACTGTGCTGAATGTATATGAAAACCACCCTGACACTTTGAACCAAAAGTGTCAGGGTGGTGTTCAGGGCAGCTGCACCATTAGTTTCATCTGAGATCACTGATCCAGTGCTCCTCAAATTTTGCTTGCGGATTGTCCACACCATTATGGCTAAAAGTGAAATAAACAGTTTTGTTTCTTTGAACATTTTGACTTCCACTGACCAGTCAGATTTTCATTAACCCTGACCACACTCTTGTATAAATATCCCCATATGGATTACATGAACACATGTAACCCTCTCTCTCTCTCTCTCTCTCTCTCTCTCTCTCTCTGTCTTTCACATGTAACTTTAAATATAGTTGAGGACTACTTGAGCTCAGAGTTGCCAATATTGTTGGAGCTGCGGGTTCGTTATCTGCAGGCCTGTGAACGAATACCGGAAGCCATGGCCCTTGCTAAAAGCTGCTTGGAAAATCATGAGGCTGGAAAGCACCTGTACTTCCATCAGGCATACCTGACCTGCCTCTACAAGGCCTCACTGCATGAAAACCTTCACAAGGAGGTAAGAGAAGAAGAGCAGCACGGGAAAAGCAGAGTGGACTAACAGTGTGAAAAATTAAAGGTGTTGTTTACATGAATGTGGCTGAATAGGTGGAGATAAATGGAAAGTATGTTATTTGCAAAAGGAAAGTAGATAGTTACACCAGTTAAAACAGGGACTAGAAAGATTCTGATGACGATAATGAATGAATGGTTCAAATCTATAAATCAACCAAAATTAGTTTTATCTATCTTTGTGCATATTGTATGCATTTTAATGTTTTATCTATGTGTGCATTGTGTTAAACACTTTGAATTGCCTTTGTGTATGAAAATGTGCCATATAAATAAAATTGCCTTGCCTTTTAATAAATGATTAAAACTCAACTCATTATTATGACAGATCCTGAAGTAAAAATATATATCAAATAAAACTGTGTGAGTTAGCTGAATTTATTTTTTATTTTTGAAATTGTTTCTTCTATTCCAGACATCCCTCACTGATTGTCATGTATTTTGTTAAAAATGTGTGTGCACCTCTGTATGTTGTTTCTCAGATGGCAGAGATAGATGGCCATGATGCAGTTGAGATCATCTGCAATACAGAGAGTGTTGAAAAGGATGAGCTCCTGCTGTCACTGTGCAAAACCTTCCTAACCCAGCAGCTGCACAATGGTGACATGTATTACATCTGGTGGGTATGGCCTTCAGACAGCAACATCACACTAGCACTAGTGTTACAGTAGGATATACATTGATGTGTAAATTTGGTTCAGTACTCTGTTTAATGACTTAGGAATGATCACATTTGTTGCTTAATTAAAATACAAAAGAGCTAGATATCTTTGACTTAACATCCAACTGCTTCCTGCAGGGATCTGGTGTTTATCTGGAGTAGGCTGTATCTCAGGGCCCATCCCTCCAGACAAGGTTTCCTGGCTGAATGCTTGGAGCTGGCTTCCTCTGCTACCAACGTCAGAGCCATCTTTCCCTTCATCAAACTGGTCACCACAGAGGTACAGTATTAATTCATAGCATCATCTTTTTTCATGTTGTGCTCCTCAGGTCTGCTGTTTTTTTTGAGGCTTGCATCTGAAATATGTATTGGCAAATACTTGGCTATGGCAAGGTTCTTGCTCACACCTCATACCTGAGGAAGCTCTTAGTCAGATAAAAACCGTTTGAGGCACACAGCCTCACTTTGGCATCATCAGTCTTTATAGTAGAACAAAGCCTTTAACTGATTTGATTCTACTGCCTGCCATTTTACCTTATTGTAATCACTAATGTCTATTTTTTAACAGCTGGGTGGTGAAGGAGTCCAGGTCTGTGTAGAGCTATGTGCCAGGGCCTTGCAGCTGTGTGACATGCAGGCGGACTCTATAACCCGGTCACTGGTCTGCAAGACCATTGCTTTCCTGCTGCCTCATGACCTGGAGATCTGTCGAGCATGTGCCCTGCTGGTCTTCTGCCAGGAACGCAGCCTGGAGGCTTACCGAACCGTCTGCCTGCTTTACATGCATCCTGACCAGGAGCCACATCCCCACAACAGCCCTGTCAGAACCAGTGTTCGCTTCCATATTCTGCAGGTTGGAGGGAGTGAAGAGGTGGAATATCAGGGTTCCCATGCATCCTGGAAAACCTGGAATTTTTAAACCAGTTATCCAGCCATGGATATATGGAAATTGAGATAAAATGTACAGTGTCCTGGAAAACTGTTTGTAGTCCTGGAAAATAATCATTACATTTGTGTATTCAACTTTTTCAAATCTCAGTATAAGCTGGCAGCTGAAATTAGGGAAGTATGTGAGATAAACATAGAATGGCAAGGGTCAACATTTATTGCCTATTTTAGTAATATTTTTGTCTGTTCTGAATACCTTAAAGTTTCAGCTTTTAAATGCACCACGCTACGTCAGGTTGGTGAACAGAGTGTGAATAAAATAAACTAGATGGATAAAATCACAATGGAATATAGCCAAATAACCAAGAAATGTAGTAGCTTGATAGTTGAAATACAAACAATAACTGTTGGCTAGTAATGAGTTTTTCCTTTAAATATGTTTAATATTTATTGCTCCACCACTTGCAGAATTATTGTTTAACATCAGTGGGGTAGTTGGCCAGCTTTTTAACACAATACGATCAGCAATAGAAATGGATGTTCAGCGGGATTAAGTCAAGAGCCTTTCTGGCAGGGCGTGGTCGATCTGAGGGTCAATATTCCTTTTGAAGATATAATGAGTCAAATCTTAACTCATGAACATGAAACCTATCTTCTGTAGGCTCGTCTTGAGGATATCCTTCTCTGCAGTGTCCATTGCTAATAAATCTACACAAATCCATTTAGAAATCGTAAGAAAAAGACAGAACACTTCTTCATTGTTGCTGTGTTTACTATTGCTTACTTTTTGTTGTTAAAGTCAGATTGCTTTTTTTTTAGTTACACTAACCTCCAGAGAGTCACGTTTGTACTTTTTCACCCTAACCTGTGATAGATACTGCGATTGATAGACTGTGAACAGAGAGATAAGGAAAACTGCAGAAAGTGAAGGTCACACATTTATTGTAGTATACTAACAGTCATACAATGAGGGACTGAGCATCTGCTTGTGTGTTTGGGAGAGTGTGACATTCACCAGTAATTAATCATAAGGACTAGTTATCCAGCTGAAGTATCATCAAAGATTAATACATACGGTTTAAAAGAAACTTGCACTGAGATGAACTTGTTGTCTGGGACTGATCCTCCTGATCATTTGACATATATCATTGAAAATTATTTCTTGAAAAGAGTGGGAACCCTGAATATTATATGAAATAAGTGATATATTGGATATAACTTCATTATGACTTATGCCCAACATTTTTACGTCTTTGCTTTCTAGATGCTCAAGGATCGCCTGTGTTTTGACCCTGAGTTTTGGAACCTCCTGACCCTCAGGACCCATTGCTTGGAGTTGATAAGTGACAATGTCATGAAGGCTGCTGTACTAAATGAGATGAAAGAAGAAGAGGAGAAGGAACACAGTGAAGAGCTGTTAAATAATTGTGTAAATGACTTATTCACTCAAGATTTGAGTTCATGCCAGGGCACTGAGGCTGCATTTGTGAACCAAGACCTTTCAGAAGCACAGACTATAGATGAAAAGCCAGACAAGCATGTTGTTCCATCAAATAATGCTCTTTTGAAGAGGAGAAAATGGAGGAGAAGACTGCGAAGGAGAAAACGGTCTGCATCTGATGATGAGGCAGACCTTGGTGATGATCCAGAGTTCAAATACAATCTCAAATCTACAACTTTGGGTCATAAGCCCATGTATTCACTAAGACACAATCACACTAACATGGAACATTCTGCTTCTGTAAAGCTTCCTCTAAACCGCAAGAGAGAATACTTGTCTAGGTGTGTAAAGAGCCAAATTCTGAAAAGGAAAGGCCGGAAGAAAAGATGGTTGCAAGGTGTTCCAAGAGTGGAGCAGGTGCAGACAGTTAAAGAGAAAAAGGTCAAAGTTAAAGGTAAAAAAAGGGGAAGGAAGCCTTTAATGAAACTGGAACTCTCGTACCCTGATAATGAAATATTCCTTACTGAGGATGAATCTGGTTTGGAGGCAAAAATAGGCACACAAAACAAAGAGCAGGATATGGCTCATCTGGAGAATGAACTTGGTCAAAAGGATGAACAGAAAAATAATCAGCTCGAGCACATGACTAACCTTGATATGGAAAATGCACTTGAGAACCATAGTGACTTTGTCTGTGGTAGCACTGTCGATGAAAAAACCCAAAATGAATCTCAAACAGAGCTTGGTTCCAAGCTTACTGAAGGTCCTCCTGGTGAGCCTCAAGCTGCACTTCCTGCTTTTGAAGCTGATCCTGAGCTTGATGGACCACCCCTAGAGTTAGTGGATTGTCCAGTAGAACTGTTGCACAGTTACTCCCTTAAATCAAAAAAGCCTGACAGTGAGAAACTGCAACCTCAAGAATCCTCCGCACCAGATGAGCTTAATGGTGACACAGAGCAGGAGCCCCAACCCACAGTGGAAACAAAAGTCTCAGACACTGAGGTTAGTTATTTGTCTATAATTACTTTCCCAGGAATTTGATAATGCAAGTTTATAATTACCAATGAATTAATATCGTCTCTTATTTGATAGATGTAACAGTTGCATTAGCAGCATTTTGCTTTAAATGAACTATACTGCAGTGCTGCAGTCATGTATACACACACTTGTGAGTCAGTAGCTTAGGACAATATATTAATGTGCACTGACCCTGCTAACAGACAGGGAAACCTGTTGTTTGCAGTTTTATTTGATATTCTGCTGACTTGTTCTCTTGAAATAGCACTAATTTCAGTGATTTGTTGCCTTTTGTCCAGGTGAAAGCCAAGAGAACGTGGAAGGACAGAGTACTCCGTACTCAACAGTATGCCCATTTGACGTACCACTGCAATTTCTGCCACAAAGACTATAAGGGCTTGAATGTTATGAGGCATGCTCTGTCACACCTTAAGAGTAGAAAACTAAAATGTATACTTTGTGGAAAACACTTTAAACAGCTTCCTTGTGCCAAAAAGCATATTCTGGACCACATTGATGAAATGTGCAAACATAAACCCCCTGAAAAAGAGACATGCACTGAGGACACCCCAACTACTAATGGAATAGTAGACAATGTAGAAAATCAGAACCCAGTTCAAAATGAAAATCAGACTTCTGAGGAAACTTCTGAACAGAAACCTGGAGGAAGAACTAAAGGGTCAAGCCTCAGTAGGGAAGATCGAATCATCAAGAACCTCCGCACCCTTATCAAAAAGTCAAGTGTGCTTCATAAAAAGTGCAAAAACCCTAATGTGAATATTTTCCAGCAGGTAGACTTTAAGAATGAGCAAGTAGTTATGAAAGATGACCTGGTGATTTTAAAAGATCTATCTGTGATGGAAGAGGAGGGAGAAGGTGAAGATAAGGAGAAGGCAACAGAAGAAAATGGCTATGGTGTGGATATCACGTATCACCTGTGCCCTTCAGAGTCCTGTGATAGAGTATTCTTGAAGGTCAACACAACACTAACAAGGCATGCTATCAAATGCCATATTAATGAAGATAAGGTGTTGGAGAAGACTTTTGCTTGGGCCAAGCACAAGTGCACCCTCTGCCTCAGGTAAGATATAACTTGCCTTGATTTGAGTCTGACCATTTTCATTAACTGTCAGTGTATTTGCACTATCATAAAAACAAATCTCTGTTGTATACAGTTAATACATGTTGGTTGGCTTGTATATTACAGCATCTGTAGTATTCAGTATAGTTGGACATTACAGATTCCCATTTCTACATCTAATGCTCAAATCATCAAAGTTGTGAGTCAGTCAGCTACACATAACTTTCTAACAAAAGCGTTTGATACAGATCATGTAAAAACACAAGTAGAGAATAAAGCAGCACCTTTCTAGCGTAAACCTGTTCGAGCTCTAATTTTGAGGAGTAATCATTGGTTGTTGGTAAATTCAGTGGCAATGTGCTAACGCCTAACACATGTATCTGTATATTTGTTGGTACACAACCTGACGTGATAAAGATTCTTTATTGCAAACTGTTTTTAGAAGAACTTGCTGTGCTGTTTTTGTCCAACAGGCAGATACCATTTCTCCAGCATTACAAGGACCACATGAAACTCCACAACGCTCCTCTCCGTTACTTCTGCTACCATCTAGAGTGCAATCAGCGCTTCTTGACACACCAGGAATTAAAGGACCATGTCAACTCTCACCAGCCCTTCAGACCTCAGTGTCCCTTCACAGACTGTGAGAAGCTATTCTCAAATCTTCAGGGTCTCTATGACCATGAATGGAGACACTACATCCCAGTACCTCAAAGAGAGGAGCTAGAATTGGGGCCCAACAGACAGAAGACACAAAATGCTGAAGCTCCATGGAAGCAGAGAGTGAAGGTTGAGGAGCTATGGCTGCAGAATAAAAAGGGGCACAGGGAAAGTCCCACCCCTGATCACACTGAGGCCTCAAAACCTGGGGATCTCAGGGAAATAAGCAAAACTGAAGAGCAGACTTGTAAAGTAAATGACCCAAACAGTGGTCAAGACCTGTCTAAATCAGATAATCATTCAGAAAAAACACTCAACTATAAGCCCACAGATGATGGCAAAACCACCATCAATGGGTATGAGGATGTGACACAGAATCTGAAGTCCGAGGGACTGATCTCCACTTCCCATACTGGTGCTGCTGCTGCTGCGCCCACTCCTGCAAGTAAGAAGTCTCGAAAAAGACGTCCTGAGTCGGACCCCTTGAATGTACGAGACCATGAGGACTTGTCTAGTTTGGGTGAGGGAGTCCAGCAGCCACTGGGAGAGCCCCACATCACTGAGCACAAATCCTTTAAACCTGAAGAAGTCTCCTTCTCGACTTTTGTCAAAGCCCCCTTCAGCCGCCCACCGCCCTCCACCTACCTGGATGAATCTCTGCTCTCAATGCGCAAGAGGCGGTCCACTGATGAGGCTGCTCCAAAGAAAAATTCCTACTGGAGCACTAAGAAGAAGAAGGAGCCCGTCACAGAGAAGGACCAGCCAGAGGGTGATGTGACCCCTGAGCAAAAGATCAGACATCGCTGTGACAAGTGTCTGTCCTCCTTCGGCAGCTTAGAAGAATTACAGAAACACCAAGCCCTTAACACCTGCTCTGCTCTTTTTGGCTTTGATTCAGATGATGAAAGTAAGTGTGCTTGATTCACCGATTGTAAAACCTATCAAGACATTGTTGTATGAATATTTCTAACCCACTTGAACCACTCTAATAGATTTTGTTTTTTGATGTTTAGGTTAGTAATGCGTGAAGAGGAGCTGCAACTGAATAGACTATCATACTCTGTCACAAGGGTAGGCCTAAAGAATGAACACTGGAACCCTGCCTCAGTACTCAGACGCAGTAATTATTTACAATAAATCTTGTGCCAAAATGGTCAATTGGAGGATTTTGTTAATCAGTAGAACTTCTGAAGCAATAATTTACTTCTTTCATCTTTGTTTAAACCATCCTCAGTGTGCACTTTATTAAGGTATTTCTTTTAATCTGTGTTATGTCAGTATTTATTTCACTTATTCAAACAACATTAGTTATACACCGCCAGTCCAAAGTTTTAAAACACCTCCATTTTTCCAGTCATCATTAGTGTTATTCAACAGCTGAACACTTGTGGAATTCTTCCTGCAACTGAATTCAGATATTGTTTAGACAGGTAGCACTGTTGGAGACTGAGAGTAGAAAACCAATGTGCTGCACTTGTATCTCTGCTTTCACTCTTCATCTGGAAAGTCTGGACATGGTTCTGTTCCATCATTTGAAGCCTACTGTCTTGTTGCTTTCTTTTACACAGCCTGGGTGTGTGTTTTTGGTCATGATCCTCTTAAAGGATGAAAAGGTTTCATTTCCATTGTTATAACATTTTTTAATCTGCTGTATTTTGTTTGAAGGTCGGTATGATAACGCTACAGCTAGTGCTAATTTTGCTAAAAGAAAAGTCCCATTAAACAGCGAGATTGTTTAGAATGAGCACGATTTCTGTCAAATCATTTCTCATGCTCATCTCTGAGTCAGAAGGAACCTGTGGCAGTTGACTTTTGTACCATTTAAGGTTATTTACTGGACCTGAACTGCTTAAATGTCAGTAAAAACTGGAAAATGGTGGTGTTCTTAAACTTTTACCTGGTAGTTCAAAAGCAAACTTTGTTTTCTTAGCATACTGTATCTAAAAGTAACTCTGAACAATGAGAATCCAAATAGTTTTTCACATATAAATTTACAAATAGCCATAAAATAATGTCACAAATGACAGAATTCCCATTTTAGACCACAGAATGCCAGCATTGTAATGCAAACCTATGCTGGACTCACCCCACTGTGGTATTGTTACTGTACTATTACACAGTGTATGTTAAGGGTTGTGAACCTGTTAAAGAAAAGGCATCACTCAACAATGCATTCGCTTTTCTAAAACATCACTACAGATAATTTCAACCTGAGTTTCAGGCTTATTGCACTGCAAGTACTGACACATAAATTCAGTGAATGATTTTTCCTGGATATGTAGGAGGAGGCAAAGCTGGATGTATGGATAAATGGAAAGCTTTTGCCTTTTCTTGCATACTTTGACATGCTTACATTATAAAAGGTTGCAATGCAGGTCTGCCTGCTCTATGTTTTTGTCTTTTATAAGAAGACATAAAGTACTGCTACAGTAGGCAGCTCCCCAGACATTTGACATGTTTCAGTGGTATAGTTGCACCATATTCTGAGTCGGTGCCATACAAAGCAGTGGAGAAACCTCTCCCAGTGCTTTTGGCAAACTGCATCCCCACTGACCCTGGTATGACCACAGAAATGAATGAACCTGTCTAAATGCCATTTCACTGAAATGGTGAAGTGTTTTTGATTGCTTATCTCAAATTGATATGGATATGTACGTGTCCGTTTGGTTCATGTATTGAACCCAATAAAATGGGACTAAAATATTGTAATTTTTTAATCGCATTTTTAAAAAGTGCATATTTAATATGAGTGATTTATTGCAGTACATCATAAGCTGTGTTTGCAATTGTATGAAGCACTGTGAGAAAAACATTAAATGATGAGTCTAAACTCTGTTTTCATGGAATGATGAGCTAGCTCAGTGTGTGCTAGCGTGTGTAGTCTTCCAAATGAATCATGCACCACTCTGAGCTTTAGTCCTAGTCGAGAGGATGTATTTAAATGGTTTCGGTAGATGTGACAAAAACATTGGCTGTGTGGTTGTTGAGTCCTCTCTCCACATTTCTATGTTGTTAAAATATATTGTAATTGTGAATAAACCCTTGTCACATACAGCAAGTTTTACAATTGTGAGGGAATGTGTTTTCAGCATACTGTGTGGGCTAGACTGTCAGGATCGGATTTTCCTTTGTTAATTAGTCTGCTGGTCATGATTTGACAACATCAGTCACATGAGTCATTAAACCAAAATGTCTGAAACCATGTAAATCTGCCTTCATAATGTCATACTACTCCTCTGTACAGCATACAAATGATTCAGAATTGTATTGGTGTCAAGGCTGAATCTCAGTATTAGACACTAGGTAAAGACAAACATGAAACTCAGTAATAACCGCTTTGCTTTGAATTTCAACATTTTTTCATTTTTACCCAGTTTAACTCCATGATTGTGTATTTTCATCATGTAGAATATTTTGCATTGGTTGTTTGCTATGATGTATATATACTTTTAAGATGATTGATCTGTTTAGTAACTTTTTAATTAATGTAATGTTTTTATGGGACTGTGCACTTAAATGTGTATTTATTATGCGTATTTATATGTACAAATGTTAATAGATTGAATTTGTAAAGATAATGAGGATTCCTGATCTATTTTTCTTAAAGAAAAATTTGTTTGAATAAACAAGTGATGAATCTAAAAGTCTGTCATAATGACAGTTCTGTTTTTGTTTTATATGTTGGTTGCACTTTACTTACATACAGGAACAACTTTCTTACAGTGTCAGATGTTACATGTTATCATGTACAGTAAAAGAGAAAACAGACATGATATATTCTTTATTGAAGTTCAGCATTACATATTTGTTATACATAACATAGTGCTTCATTAACCCCCAGGAAAGAGAAAAATAGAATAATTATAGTAGAACGGCCTGTGTATAAAAGTTTTTGCACCACTTTTTCCAGATGAGGTAATCTATTAAATCAGAGATCATCAATATACATAAATAAAACCCTTTTGTTCAGTTTACTTTAGACCATAAAATGCCCTCCAATTTTGTTTTAATCTCAAATCACTCAGTAATGAAGTTCAGTGCAGTAAAGAGTGCACTTGTCACTGAAGGCATGTATTCAGTATTGTTAATACTGGTTGATATCTTAAACCTACTGCACATCTTAGTTGACAGTACAATTATTGGCAAATCCAAGCTGGCTTTACCGGCATGGATTTGCTGCGTTGCAATCTGATATTAGTCTCACTAGGGGTTAAATGTTTAGTTAAATGTTATGGCTGATCTTACAGGCTAAGAAAAATAGAGGCAATAGCATTTGAGATTAGAGGATTGTTGAGTATCATGCAGCAAATGCATTCAAATTTTAACACATGCTACTTCAACTATTTGTTGCTATTTGTAGCTTATAAGACAGAGAAACTTAAGTAATGTGGGGGATACATATACACACCTTTCCAAACAAATGTGGACTGTACCAGATAGAAATTGACAAAACATGCATTGATGACATAAATTAGTTTCCACTCATAAACTTGACCTGAAATAAATTATGGAAACATAGACAACTCTCCTAATAGAGAAGTCACATCATGATATATCATGTTCAAAATGAATCTTACAAAAAAAAACAAGTTTCAATTTGTGAATAACTCAAAGGCACTGTAGAGTTTTGTAGCCCTCTTTAGGTGGAAAATAAACACCTACAAACTAAACAAAAAAAAAAAGACTTGCTATATTTAATAGAATGTACTGATTTGGGGAATTTTCACAACAGGGATATACTGAGAATTTTTCCTGACATGCTGGGATACATGGCTGGATAAACACAGCACCTTTCATTCCTAGAGACCGACACAAACCTGTTCTTGGTGAGAAAAGTGCAAATGTCTCCACAGCACTCAGAGTTAGCCATAAACATGCAAAGTGTCAGAGTGCATAACAAGTAGTTGATTCGTTAATACGCTGGTCAAAAAAATGAAGGGAACACTGAATCACATGTTGGGTCTTGATGAATGAATTATTTCAGTTGGAAACCTTTACTGATGTACATTGTATAATTTGTACTTGGTGGCGTCAGATGCACTGATAAGGAAACCTGTTGTCACTTTCATTTGCACTAAAGCAGGTCAAACTGATTCAGAATCAGTAGTCTCACTGGTGCTTCCTAAATGGACAGATTGATATCCCTGAAGTTCAACTGACTTGGTGTTATAATGTGAAGATTACGTAGTTTTTTTAGCAGTATAGTTCAGTAATTCACAACCTCACTGTATTCTTCTTACAAAATATATAAAAACACTCAAGCACCTTTCCAATTTAAAATGGAAGACCTGGATTAAAAAGGGGGGTGGACATGAAGACAGGGAGAAACAAAATACCATTAGGGGTTGGGAATGACAACTGCCACGCTGGTCTGTCTGAGTGCTGAGCACAGCAGCAGGACCTAACTAGATTTTGGTTTTCCAGTGAGAAAGAATTTGATAATAGTTAACTGCACACAGTTCCATTCCCATGAAGCATTCAAACCGAAGCAGCTATTTCTTTCTTTCCCTGTAGCATGCAACATCATCCTGTTCACCTCTGTAGGTTAAAGATGTTGCAGAAATGATGGACCAGCTTTGTGGACAATCTGCAGCCCACTACACATGAAGGAATGGATTTGTAGGTTGAGAAGGCTTTGCCAATACCGTCTGGATCAGCAAAGTCGTCATCTCCATGTACTCTGATCTGTATCTGAAGGCTGCCCAAAGACCTGTTGAACTGGACTTGAATTGAAGAATACTGATAATCTATGACTCCTGAGCTGGTAAATGGTAATGGACTTGCACTTATATAGCGCCTTTCTTCGCATTCTTCAAACACAAAGTGCTTTACAATATATTTTCCCATTCACACACGCACTCATGCAACCACTCACATCACACTCACACAGTTGCTGACAGTGCTTGAAGACTTGAACCAGAGAGCATTAAACCCTTATCGAGGATTAAAGTTCTAAATATTATACAGTACACTTGTTTAGTGCCCTCTATGATACCTCCCTCATACAGTATATATGCCATTTTGTGCAACTTGTTTTCTACAATTCTCTGTTGGAATTATTTTAAACCAATAAGATTTGAATGCACAGCTCACATAGGTTATGATTTCCAAACATGAGTTATATGGGCCCACAAAAGGTATTATAGTAGAATAAGACTTCAAGAAATGTATGATTTAATGGTACAGTGCAAACGTGTCCCTTTCACCGCCAGGACTTAGTTTGGTTTTGCATAAAAAACATTTGCATGGTTAGAAACCAGTGGGCTGCATCTGACAAGCACGACATCACCGACCTTCTGGTTTTTCAGTAGATGTAGCTCAGTTGAAATCTGGCTGGGCGTCCATGTGCTGTATTTGTGTGCTTGTGCTCAGTGGGTGCTGTTGGAGCTCCAGTCATAAGGGAGGAAGCTAACTTTGGTCTTGCCAGTAGAAAGGACTCCCTGTAAAATGGTCTTCTTTGGAGAGTCACCCATGTGCTCCAGCACCCAATTCAGCAGCTAACAGACAGAGAACACACACAGTGACGATAGGTGCTGGATAAAAACACTGGTGGCGTCATATCAGTATTATTTTTCATTGTTCAACCTACCTTTTCATCCGTACCTCCGAAGTCAGCCTTGTACCACTTGAATATCTGACTTAGCTGCACTTCTCTTTTCCCAGAATCCACCACGCAGCCGTCGTCGTTCTCGAGAAAGGCTTCAGCAGCGGTGCGGAGCTGGCTGTCAATATCCTGATAGAGTTGAATAGATGGCACTTGATTTCAGTCCAAACAAGCTCTTAGTTCGTATTATCAGATATGTTGCATAATGAATGTTGGTCACTTCCGTCTAGGATCTTATTAGATGTTACCAACTTAATTAATAATTAATTCATTAGTTTCCAGAATTGACCAGTTTAGAAAGAATTTATCTATGTGAAGATAAGATGGATCATGAACGCAACAAAGTAACAAAGCTGTTCTAATCTGGAAATATAATATATGACTAAAGTATGAAGCCTGAACATCATTGAATGTTTTCCTTTATGAATACAGCATAACAGTGTGATACTCGGTAACAAGAGCAAAGATTTGATTAGTATAACTATTATCTGTTAATTGGCTGATTGCACTGTTCAGTAAATCTAGGTGCTTAATCAATGAGATCATTATACAACAGATGCAACCGATGAAAGGAAGACAGTCACACTGGCACATCTGGATATAACAGAAGGACATAAAAGAAGTAAGCATTGCCTGTCAAGAATGTTCATCAAATCTAGATTTACATAAAGTGTTTTTGGGATCCACTTACATGAGGAGTGTATGTTTTAATAGGTGGACAGCCCTTTGCACCGCAGTTCAAGGCAAAGTGAATGAGCGGCTCAGCATCTGGGAGAGCCACCTAGTGGACAACATGGGGAATGAAATGACAGAACACGAGTTCTTCCAAATATATTGTAACTGTCACTGTTGAATACATGAAATGTTCATCTGTGATTTAACAGGATGTCTGAATACTTGTAGTCGTGGGTCTGTTTTGGAGAAGGGCTTTCGAAGCTGTGCGACACCTCTTCTGTTCCCTCTCAAAACGCCGTTCTCTATGTCCTGTAATGTGAACACTTCTCCTCCAATCAGGTAGCTCACATAGTTGAAGAACTATAAAAAGAGACAGTGACAAATATTTTAATGTGATGTCATCCATTCCTGCAGCTATGTGAGCTAAATAAAAAAAAAAAAAAAGACTAACATGAAAAAGTATGTTTGCGCTTTTCTTCCACTCTGTGCAATGAACATGATGGGAGGAACTTCATAGTTGGGTGTATGAAATAGTATTTCCAAACAAGCTTGATTATTTTTTATAAAGGACACTTTTTTAATATCACACACCTGCTATACACAAACATACCAGCAAATGTTTTTGAC